ATATTATATATATATACTAGATAACGTGTTTATGGAATCCTCGTCATCATTATAATATATTCATTAGATATTACGGTTTTTTATTTCTATTATGGATAAAAAATAATGTTTTTCCAAGAGTCCGAGGTTTTTTAATTCATTGTCATAGAAGATTTATACTCACTACATCATCGAAATCGTGTCATCCGATTAAATATAATTTGTTTCTATTTAGTCACACACTGGTGGAAAAAAAAATAAACTATTAAGCTGTCATTTTATAACATTTTCTATTTTTTGCGATTAAAATATGCTATTTATTAGAAAGTGTTGCATTATTTAATACAATTTGGTTATTAATAAAATAAAATATTAAAATTACGTTCGTATTGAAGTGTACGAAACTAGGAAAATTGACTAAAAATCATTTAAGACACAGTAAACTTATAGAATATAATGTACAGTATATTATATTTTATATAATGTATATACCAATACCTTCAAGGTGTAATACATAAAGACCTAACAAATTAAATATAAGTAATAACTTTGGTTATAATCAGTATTGAAATATTTTTTATGTATACCTGTATAATTTATAGACGCTTGAGCTATAATAATATTACAGTATAACATTTATTTGTATTTTTAATACCTATTGTAAATAAAATGCTTTTTATTTTAATACATTTTTTATGGAAAAATTCAAAATAACCTTTCTTTTTGGGTATTAACTGACATAAGTACTTATGTATATTTCTTAAATTTATTATTTATTATACATATTATAGTAACCATAATTTTTGTCATACGTATCAATTTTTATTTTTCAGGTCTTTTTGTTACACTCAGTATATAACTATATATCATCAGGTTGTACAGTTGAAATCGTTCAAACGAATAAAGAAAAGGTTTCAGCTAGTTCAACCGTTAACCCATAAAACAAACCTATATAGTATAGTAATAACAAGCTTCCAGTTGCATATTTCTTTACACCGATCCGAATCGCGTGTAATTATTTGTATTTGAATATTTCAAATACGATTCGCGGTATTAACACGATAATATGACATCGGCTGAAAGTAACATCACAATATAGTATTCCAAAAAGTCCCTCTACAGTGTTGGTACGTACTTAATAGCTAAATAATAATTGGTGAGCGAATCTTATAGAAAGCGTTTGAAATACGTTCTCGTACAGGTATATTATATAATACGTCATGTTATATAGATAGGTTAGGTACCTACCTACCCTGCCAATATTATAATAATACACTAGCCACGCCTCGACTTTTTATCACTGAATACGTTGATTATATTATACTTCATAAGTCGTTTATAATACGTTCCTGTATGATAATAATATTGAAAAAATAAAAATAAATCGTAAGCGTCTATAACCCGTTTTGTTATTAGCTGGTAGCGTGTTTTCGTATAAATATAATATAATATATTGTCGATATCCCAACTCCCAAGTTCCACTCCGAGTGGTCGCGTCACGACTTGAATGAAATGATCAAGACACACACATAATATTATCATAATATAATTATGTATATAACTACACGTATTATAATAGGTATTATAATTTATAATATAGGTACATAGGAATTGGTACTAGGTAATAGTATTTAAACGTACTGTTACCTGTAATTATATTACATACGTAAATAGCGGTCCTCAACATACATTACATCTGTACTGTTTCTCGAGCACTTATACACCATACCTACAACTGCACTACTGCAGAAGTTGTAACAAATAATTAAAGTATCGAGTCTGATTATTTCATGATTATATTATCAAATATATTATGTCGGTGCCGATTTTTACATTTTATACATTACACGCACGCCATGATAATGTTTATAACGATTGGAGTAATTTTTTCAAAGAAGTAAACAGGTGGTAGGGAATTCTCATTAGAAAAACATGAGTTTGGAACGCCGCAGGACACTCCTTAAGTATATAGTAAGGGAAAACATGACAAATGAGGGTAAGCATTCTTGGTGAATCATTCTCGATATTCTGTATATTATATAATATTTTATACCTAATATAACTATAGTTAGGTATATCACAGACGTTATTATTCGGTTTTCTTTAAGTAAAACGAAGCGGAAAAATATATTATAATACGTCCTTCTCGCATAGAGTCATATATCCTAATTATCTACTATTTTATTGTGGTACAAAATTATGTTATATTACATTACCCAATCTAATAATTGTTGTTTGTTATATATAATGTACAATTATAGATTGGTTGAAAGTGTTATTAAACAATTTTTAATAATAACAAAAAATATGTACAATTATTAATTATACATACAATTATGTATATTCAGATGAAAATTAATATAGATAAAACATTTAAGAGATTTCTCAAATCCGTGATTAAAAGTTTAAATGGTATGGAATGATTATATTATGAAATATTAATTACAGTTTTACGCATTTGTTTAAACATTTTTTGAAGGCCTATAAAAACAAAGTGATTAAATCCAATTACTTTATGTCGCAGTAATTTGAGTGATTATACATCATATTTAATCAATGAGGCCAACAATAGAAGAACTGTATGAAGTTGAAAATATATAGACATAATATTATAGTTGTAATAATTAATAATAATTCAAATAATTTCTTAACCCAGTTACTAAGATTAGGTTGGATGCATTATATTAATTAATATAATAATATGTTACGATATCGTAATAAACGTCACACGAAAGTCTCGGAGCATGCGTTTTATTATTAGTAAAAAAACATAATTTAAAATTAATGGTTTTGATACATTTCTAGATTTTTTTGGGAAAAAATTAGATTTAAATTTTTCACATGTGTTATAATATTTATGCACCAATGCAATGCACTGATTAACCAATGAACAAATTTCAAAGTTTTAAGGCATTATAAAAAGGTTTTTTTGTTCAATTTCACAAAGCCACTAGTTTAAATTTACGACGATATACTCTTAAAAGTATAATATACTACTTAGTATTTTTTGAATTTAGTACATGTTGGGTATTGGTGAATGACGATATAAAATTACATAATTGGAAATATATACACTTCACGGGTACAAATTGAATTTGTCTATACACTTACATCCTACGTGTGTAGTGTGCACATTTTAGCTAGTCAATAGTTTACGTGGACACGTAGTTATGTACTTAGGTTCGTACACGAATAATATGGACAAAATTGTTGTTACTAGGTAATGTAACTACGCCACTACGGTAACTATTATACTACACGTCTACACATATAAATGTATATTATATACCTGTACATTTCACTGTCAGTATGTTTGAAATATTTTTTTGATCACATATTTATCCATGCTTCTTTATATACTTTGAATGTATACCTTTATCATTATGTAGTGGTGTTGGTAGTAACATTTTAATTAGGTATAAAAAATTGTATAATCACGATCACGACTTTTACTTTTAAGATGCAAGTACTAGCTGAATTATCGAACAACGTTATTAATCTATAACTTTAAAATACAATTGTGTTTGTTATTATATATCTACATAATATGAGGGTCGTTATTATTTATAGTAGTTTTTATTTTTTTAGTTGTTTCCTGAAAATAACTGATAATATGCATGAGAAATCTTCCTGAAATTCATTTCCCATGGTTTAGTCCGCGAGCGTCGTCAAATATTTTATTTCCTTTGACAACAAAACCAATCAGTTTATTCCGTACTTCCATCCGTACAAAATTTAAACCAATACTGAATACATAATTAATGTGTGTTACTGTGTTGCAATAGTTATAGTTGTAACCCGTACAAAACTAGTAACTACTATAGGTAGCTTATTTTCAATATCGTTTTAATTTGCGCAATATCATCCTGCAACTATTATTATCATGAAGCATTTTGAATTAGTCAAGTTTGCTCGCATAGAAACTGGATGAAAAATGAACTATGTTAAATATTACGATAAGTTGTGACGATAAAAACATCATGTATTTTGTCCGCTATTCCGCTCTCAAGTACACAGTTAACAGCGATCAATTAGGGACTTTTGGAATGTAAGGTGAGAGTAGATGAGTAGACAAGGGTGTTGAGGTGGCTGCAGTCCTTCCGAAATTTCATGAAAATATAAAAATGCTTCCAGTGCTCTATGGCCGTATATTAAGTAAAACGTAATCTTGTATTGAAATTGATATTTGTTATATGGTTGCTGCATAAGTCTTAAACATTACACGTATACTAACGGCAACGGCATTCCAAACGTAGGTATTTGAGAGATTCTAATTCCCCTAAATATATAACTAATTATCAACAACTTCCAAATGCAAAATCCTGGCAATGTCACACTGGATGACAGCGATAGAGGACCTTGTGACAACTGTATGTATGGGGGGGGGGGGGCTAAGCACCCTTTTATGAACTTTTTAGAAACCACATTTGAAGCATGTAATGGAAAATATTTAAAATGATTTAATTTCAAAATTTACTTAGAAAATAGTCCAGATTCTTGTAAGCGGAATAGAATAAAACCAACACATTTTAGACTTATAATCAAAGGGTGGTTTAACTGTAGATTATAATATCATTCTGAGATAAAACGATATCTGAAATAGGTGGGCCACCTATGGATACTGTATAGGCCAAACTATGAGTTTAGATAGGTACTTCAATTATAAAGAGGCATATATACTCTATAGTTTAACAAGTACAACCCCGACAGAGCAGTATTTTCTATACTATGTGTTAGAACTTCAACAAAAAGTGAAATATTATAATTATATTGTATGTTTGCATGAGTGTGAGTGTACAGTAGCCAGGATTGTGAAATGGGGGGAGGGGGAGGATTAAGTTTAAATTAAACTAAGTTTTTTATAGTTTTCGTATATAAATAATACTTTTATAAAGGAAAAACATTTCGATAGGGGGGGGGGGGAGGAGTTTAACATACAAAACCCCCATGGGCCCTGGCTACACTTCTGAGTATGTATTTGTGTACAATAATATATAAATTAAAACCAAATAGGTACCCACCAGAGAGCACGCTATGCAACACAGGGCCAATAGTTGCACGCCCAAAACCAAAGCCGTATCCTCGTCCATTACAATGTTTTGATGTAATTATGTTATTGTAAAATTGATTATACTATTATCATATGTCACGCACCCACACACACACACACACTGGTGATCGTTACATATTAAATAGGTCGAGTTAAGTTAATATAGGCGAGAAAAAAAAAAAATTACAAAGAAGCTCCGTTTTTCACCGGACCACCACCGGTGACACTGTAACAACAAATACTGACGAATATCACCGTAACACGAACACACGACCGCGCAGGACGAGGTACGATACGCGCACTGCGCCTGGTCCGGAGACGTGTTTTTACGCGTTTTGTTCGCCGCCGCCGCCGCGCGTGCAATAGAATGTTGCAGCAGACGTTGTGCGCGGGAAATGAAGATTTCCGATTGTCATCGGCCGTATCCGATTTCGTACGTGTCCGATTGGCCGGTCACATAGAAAGCGGCGGACGAGCCCGAGTACGCCTTTTAGACGTAGGCAGCAGTTGTTTTTTTTTGTTTTTTTTTATTATTTCCGTCTGCGTCCCGTTCCCTTTAAAAAATTTTAATTAAAAACTAAACGTTTCGAAGAGAGAGAAAAAAATTAAGCAATAATGTAATGGCTACCGCACGTTACGATATAAATTGAAAGAAAAAAAAACGCTCTGTATTCTATATAATAGCTTTATATATATGTGTATTGTATATTAGCATACATTTGAAAAACTAAAGGTGTGGAAGGATGAAATGTTGTGCAAAACGTCTTGGACAGCCGCTGAAGACTTTTGACCCACTTATTTTGTTCATGCCGAGTGTCATTTTTGCTATTATTGTAATATTATACCTCGACAAATACACTTCACCGCAGATAATGCGTGTAAAAACGTGCAGATTGAAGAATATAAAAAAGTAGTTAACAAATATGTCATTCAACATTTATAACAATTAATTAGTTTAGAATGTATAAGAATAAATTATTCCCCTTTTCTGACATAGAATGTCAATGGCATTTAAACTTTCAGCTGGATAACTCAAAATATTAATTACATTTTTTATTAATTTTATGATTGGTTTTAATGACTGATTTTGTATATTATTGTTACCGTCAATTTTTTATCATATTGGAAGTGGAATTTCAGTACGTCTTGATATTAACATATTTTATGGTTAGGTTTTTAATTTTACTTGGCACTTTTCTACGCACTGAGCTGTGGTGAAGTTCTTAGTCCAGACACATAAAATATTTTTATTAGTCATCAAAATTATAGGCAATCGCTTAGCAGAAACTTAAGATGTCATTTTTTAGCTACACGTTATTGAGCGATATATATTAGTTCATCGTATTATTCAATGTCCTCACTAATTCACTCATCGATTTAACGATAAACAGATCCTATTCGAATCGAATAATCGACTGCAACTAAACATTGTATAGGCAAATAGTAAACACTATTAAATAGGGTTGACATACGTCCTGGTTTTAAATATATTGCGTCCTGATGAAGTATTTCGGCATCACCAGTTAATAATTATTCAATAATTTAAGTTAACTATTGTACTGTTGCTAACAAAACACTTAAAGTAAAAAACAATAATACATTATTTTGATAAATGATAAAATAATCAAGATAATTATTTGATTGATTGACGAAATATATTTTAAAATTATTTTCCTGGTTTGGTGATGACAATTATTATTGATGAATATATTCGTCGTTTTCCTGTTCCCCCGCGACAATTTTTGTGGTCACTTCCCGGTAATATTGATCATTTCTTCGATTACTCATTCCGATTTCTAACATTGAGTTAGTTTTTGCCTCACAAACGTATGTATTAACACAGCAGATTAAGTAGAGTGCTGACTATATTGTGTGCGGTAGGTGTATTCTATAGTTACAAAAAAATATTTAATGAAACTGATAGTTTACCGCATAGGAGTGGTAAGATTTTTCCCATAAAAATTACACAAAAAAATGTTTGTCCTGGTTTAATTAAATTAAAATTTACCAACCCTATAGAGTAGCAAATATATTAGTAACAGTATTAATTGTGATACAAAGTATTATAAGACTAACCACAAGTCTACAATCTCCCGCGTATTTCGTCTCTTTTTGCAAGTGAACCCCCCGAACTTAAGTCAATTTTTGTCACTTGCCTAGAGCAGTCGCAGCCTCTGTCAGCCGCCAAGAGGTTAGCACTGAATGAAAACGGCTGAATCACGTTTTATTCGGAGAAAATTATTTTCAACAATATATTTTGGCATACATTGACTACGCTATTTTAATTTATAATCAATATCTATTCAGGTGTTGAAAACTGTAACATTATTCTCTTATCTATCGATAGTATGTAAACTTAAAGTGAACGTTCAGGAATAGAATATCTGTATATTATTATAAGCCACTAAACTTTACGAAAAATTGCAAGTTTATGATGTTGAAAATTGTAGTGGGCGCATTCTGGTTCTTGTATACACGATGTATCAGAAAGATATGACAAATTAAAAATTAAAAATTTGATACCATAGCTAAATGTAAATTAAATAAATGTTACAATATTGATTTTAACAAAACATATTTCATTTCTCCGGTGTGCCTATATCTGTTACACTGTGTGTATACCTGCTATTTTGACTAAGCTTCGTGACACTATTATATCCGCTGTTGGCTGTGGTGCTGGTTAATATTATGTATCTATTACACGCGCGTCTTATGTGATGAAAAACAATAACGGTCGTTAGTTTGAAAATTATCAGTATAGAGAATAAACAATAACATATTGAAAAATGAAAATCGCACACTAGAAGCTCTGGTCGTAATATAGTGTGCATATACGGCTATACATAATATATTATAAGTACCTGTATGTATATAATATAGGTATTATATTATAGAGTTTTTTGGACCAAAATAGTAATTTGCGGTGCACCAAAAAATAATATACACCTACCTAATATATTATAATAGATTATAAATTATATCGTACGGACATTCTTCTTGAACTACTAGAACGGAACGCGTGCGACGCATTTATTATTTATATACATACATACATACCTACATACATCCAATTTTATGTACACCATATACATATCATAATACCTATATACAGCTTGTATTGTATTATGTATATCGTCGATCGATGTGTCATTGGTGTCATCATCATACGCTGTAGGCCATATATCTGTATACCAGGATCCGCCTACCAAGCAGTGCTATAATAATATTTCATGCTCTGTTCTATTTGTAGATAAATTGTTAATATAAACGTTTTCTCACAAATTTGGAATATAGGTACATAAATGTATATTATTGATAAAACGGCTGCTTCGATTAAATATTTTTACAAAATCTAGTAGTTGGGCGTTTTTTTTTCTGTCTCTAGAACCATCATAATTATTATATATATATATTTTTTTTTTGTATTCTACTCAGTAAAGACCACGAACTCCTGAATTCACGTCTTCATGCTGCAGTCCTGCAGACAGTAATAATTTATAAATATTTTACTGAACGAAAAGTTTAGTAAGAATTATATATTTCAGCAAAATATTAAATGATTTATTAATATAGGCCCGATGAAGAGAATGTGCTGATAAAGCACACAATTATCATTTAACCATTGTAATAAAACGCTATCGTCACGGTGAGCGTGGTAGTGGTATATCTCTTCTATCGCGGTAGGAGTGTGTACGGCATCGTAGGTAAAATAACCGACAATCGGGACTTAGACCATTATTTATAGGTATATTATTTCAGTGTTGTGACGCCTTGTATTCGTTTTAATTCAATAAAAAGTATCCGCGCAAAATATTAAATAATTTATTAATATAGGCCAGCCCACGAAGTGAATTTGCCGATACCGCACAAAATTATAATTTGTCTATTATTGTTATAAAACGCTGACGTCACAGCACAGTGTGGTAGATATGGTATATGGTATACGTATATGTTCTGTCGGGGAGTTAGAGGGTAGGGGTGTGTATGATGGTCGTACGCAGGTTGGCTGATGATCAGGACTATACACAGTATATTATTTTAATGTTGTGTTCGTTTTATTTTAATAAAAGGTTTCCGAGTATATTAATTATTATTGTTTACCTTTTAATTTGGAGCAGTTTCAATAATACCTTACTATTGTATCAAATATATTTTGAATCCTATCTGAAAACAATTAACAACCCATATCATACTCTTGGCGAAGATTGAAGGAAATAGTGAAGTAATATGTAGATATTATCGACTACTTAAACTAGTTACTTTGAGGTTTTTATAAGTATAGGTACAAGCATATAGCTGAAAAGTTCATAAACATGAGCATTTCTAAACATACCTACGGCCATTATGATTTATGACAGTATTAATTGCTACGATTGAATTATACGACGATTTAAGAAACATAAAGTATGTCATAAATGTGAAATAATAATCGTAACTGTATAATATGTTATATTATAATTTCGTGTGAACGAAAATTACTTGCACTGGTCCAAACGGTAAATAAACACATAATTAACTTACATAGTTATAACATAAACGTTTGTCTTGCGGCCGACATTTGGGTAATCAGGTATTCCTACTTTTATAATAATTAAATATAATATAGAATTATTTTAAATAGTTAAATAATTAAATTATAATTATTATACAGTACTATCGCTATATAAACGTAAATCACAAACATGGTAGTTATAATATTATCTAATATTATGCGTGTAATTGAAATATGAACTTGGAATGTTCGGGTACGTTAGCTATAGTTATTAAATTTTAAACAAAAAATTCTGTTTTTTTTTTTTTTTGGAAAAGAAAAATACCGCGAGTATACGACTAATAATCATGCAGTGGATTGTGATGATAAATCATAATTTAAAAATAATAAGAAAAAATGTACGGACCGGATACAATGACTGGGTGTTGGACACTCGTCTCGCTTCGCTCAGTTCGGGGCTAACCACTGCTGTATTATTATAATATATCTTAAAGCAATGATAAATCATCATTGGAAAAAACGACTACAATCATAAAATGCATTTAAACATCAAACGGTCATATAAAAAGATTGTTGAACCAGAATTTTTTAAATAAAGATAGAAAAACAAACGATTAATCAATGTATATATATACGTATGCATATTATAGCTGATTCTTAGAATTCAAGGTTTGAAATTGTTAACAACATACCTAAAAGTCAAAAGACTTTTAACACAATCAAGTTAATAAAATAGGTATGAAACGAGTCTCATAAAAGTATCTATTCATTTTTGAAGAGAAATATTATAATGAAGTATATCTAATATTGATAAATAAGTAACAATAATATTATATTTGTACCATAGACTTCATAGAACAATTGAAGTGCA